AGGAAAACTACCCGCACAAACCAAAAAGAATCCAAATCATAGTGCATGTGCCATCACTTTGAGAAATGGCAAAGAATATGAAGGTCCTAAGATGATTGAAGAAGAAGAAGAGATGGAGTTAGATAAAGAAAAAGAGAAGTGAAAAACACCTTCAAAGCAAGTTCCTATTGAAGCAAAAGTCACTCCTAAGCCATTTCCCACAAGGTTAAGCAAGTCAAAGCATGAAAGGGAAGACAATGAAATCATGGAGATGTTCAAAAAAGTTGAGGTGAATATTCCTCTTATTGATGCCATCAAACAAGTCCCTAGGTATGCTAAATTCCTTAAGGAATCATGCACATCTAAGAAAAGATTGAAAGGGAATGAAACTGTCAAAGTAGGTGAGAATGTATCTACAGTGCTACAAAAAAGATTACCTCAAAAATGTAAGGATCCGGGTGTTTTCACGGTTCCTTGAAAGTTAGGTAATCTTCATGTTCCACGAGCTATGCTAGACCTTGGAGCTTCTATCAATGTCTTGCCATATCTTATTTTCAAAATCCTAAATATTGGCACATTGAAGAAGACCGGGTTAATCATTTAATTAGCTGATAGATCTTTAGTACATCCAAAAGGTGTGCTAGAAGATGTGTTAGTCCAAGTGAATGAGTTAGTATTTCCAGCAGATTTTTATGTCCTTGACATGGATGATGATGACTCACCAAATTTGAGCTCAATTCTTCTAGGAATACCCTTTGTGAAAACAGCTAGGACAAAAATTGATGTTTATGATAGTACATTGTCCATGGAATTTGATGGAGAGGTGATAAATTTCAATATCTATGATGCTATGAAATATCAAAGTGATGTTTCATCTTTAAATTTTGTGGATGTCATTGAACCATTAACAGAAGAGTGTTTTGATTTGTCTAATCTTGATGTGTTAGCTCTTATTTTAGACAGGAATCTTCAAAAGGAAAGAGTGGAAAAACTTGTCAAGCAATTTAAAAATGATGAAGAGATTTTGGAAGTTGTATCTTGCATGGATGAAAAGAAGAAAATGAGGTTTGATGTTCCAAAACTAAAATTACCGATGTCTAATGAGAAACTTGTTCCTTCTGTTGTGCAGGCACTAGAATTGGAACTCAAAACTTTACCTAAGCATCTCAAGTATGCGTATCTTATAGAGAAAGAGACTTTACCAGTGATCATCTCCACAAGGTTATCAACAAAAGAAGAAGACGAGCTTGTCATCACCTTAAAAGAGTATAAGGAAGCTATTGGGTGGACTATAGCCGACATCAAAGGAATAAGTCCTTCACTTCGCATACACAAAATCCTTATGGAAGAAGATTACAAGCCTTCCCGAGAAGCTCAAAGGCGTTTGAACCCTCCAATGATGGAGGTAGTGAACAAAGAGATTTTGAAGTTGTTGAATGTGGGGATGATCTATCCCATATCATATAGCAAGTGGGTAAGTCCAGTCCAAGTTGTACCCAAGAAGACAGGTATTACTATTACAAAAAATGACCAAGGTGAATTCGTCCCCACCCGACGCAAAACGGGTGGAGTGTTTGCATAGATTATAGAAGACTCAATTCCTCAACCCAGAAAGACCATTTCCCACTTCCCTTCATTGATCAAATGTTGGAAAGATTAGAGGGAAAAACACACTATTGTTGCTTGGATGGGTATTCCGGTTTTCATCAAATACCCGTTGCACCCGAGGATCAAGAGAAAACCACTTTCACATGTCCCTTCGGAACATTTGCATTTAGGCGGATGCCTTTTGGACTTTGCAATGCTCCCACCACTTTTCAAAGGTGCACGGTAAGTATTTTTTCGGAGTATGTTGAGGAGATCATTGAAGTTTTTATGGACGATTTCACAATTTATGGTAATTCTTTTCATGAGTGTTTGGATAATTTGAAAAAGATTTTACAAAGATGTATTGAGACCAACCTTGTTTTGAATTATGAAAAATGTCATTTTATGGTTGATAAAGGTCTCATACTTGGTCATGTTGTGTCTTCTAAGGGGTTAGAGGTAGATAAAGCAAAAATGGATGTCATTAAGTATTTACGTTATCCCACTTGTGTTCGTGAGGTACGCTCACTTCTTGGTCATGCAGGTTTTTATAGAAGGTTCATCAAAGATATTTCTAAGATATCATGTCACATGTGTGAGCTCCTACAAAAAGATGCAGAATTCGAATTTTCCAAGGAGTGCAAGCAAGCTTTTGATCAGTTGAAGAAGTTGTTAATATCAGCACCAATACTTCAATCACCGGATTGGAGTTTTCCTTTTGAAATCATATGTGATTCCAGTAATCATGTAGTTGGTGCAGTGTTGGGGCAAAGAAAAGATCGAGTTCCTAATGTCATTTACTATGCATCAAAAACACTTGATAATGCACAAGTCAACTATTCAACAACTGAAAAAGAATTGTTTTCTATTGTCTTTGCTTTAGATAAATTTCGTCAATATCTGCTAGGTTCTAAAGTCATTGTTTATTCTGATCATGCAGCAATTAGATATCTACTTGCAAAGAAGGATTCAAAGACTTGACTCATTCGATGGGTATCACTCTTGCAAGAGTTTGATAAATCAAGGACAAGAGCAAAAAGTCAAACCTTGTAGCTGATCATCCTAGCCGGATTGTTTCTCCCGATGACTCGACTCCCATTCATGTTGCATTTCCCGATGAAAATTTATTTTCAGCAAAAGTTCTACATCGTCATAAATCAATTTCCACCATATTTGACTCAATGAAAAAAAGATAAGATCAAGAAAGAAGCTAAGAGGTATGTTTGGGATGAGCCATAGTTGTGGAAATATTGTGCTAACCAAATGATTAGATGATGTGTGGACCAACATGAGGTACCTTCTATCTTAAATTTTGTCACTCTTATGCTTGTGGAGGGAATTTTGGTCCTCAAAGGACTATAAGAAAATTATTAGAGAGTGGATTTTACTGGCCAAGTATTTTCCGTGACTCTTACGTCTTTTGTGCAAGTTGTGATAAATGTCAAAAGATGGGATCTTTAAGCTTAAAGAATCAAATACCCCTTAATCCCATTTTAGTTTGTGAAATTTTCGATGTTTGGGGCATTGATTTCATGGTACCTTTTCATCATCTTCGGGTTTTATTTATATTCTTTTGGTTGTGGATTATGTTTCCAAGTGGGTGGAATCAAAGGCTACCCGTACTAACGATTCAAAAATTGTAATAGATTTCTTGAAGGTTCACATCTTTTCTAGATTTGGTGTTCCAAAGGCCTTTATCAGTGATCGTGGTACACATTTTTGCAATCGTATGAGTATTTTGAAGAAATATGGTGTTATTCATAAAGTTTCCACAGCATACCACCCACAAACAAATGGACAAGCCGAAGTGAGTAATCGACAAATCAAGGGTATTTTGGAGAAAACCGTCAATGCAATAATGAAAGATTGGAGTACACGCCTTGACGATGCTTTGTGGGCGTACCGCACTGCATACAAAACTCCAATTGGAAAGTTATCCATACATCATTGCTTTTGGAAAGCCATGTCGATTACCCGTTGAGTTGGAGCATAGAGCCTATTGGGCGATCAAGCTGTTCAACATGGATTTAGGTGAATCGGGAAATAAGAGGAAGCTAGACATACAAGAACTTGAGGAGATCTGTAAAGAAGCCTATGAGAATGAGGTTCTTTACAAAGAACAGACAAAAGCATACCATGAAAAGATGATTACACGCAAGCTATTTCAAAAAGTTCAAAAGGTACTACTTTACCATTCTCGTTTTAAATTGATTCTTGGTAAATTAAGGTCTCATTGGGTGGGACCATTTGTTGTAACTAATGATTTTGAGCATGGTGCAATAGAAATCACAAGTGAAAAAACCGGGAAGATCTTTAAGGTAAATGATCACCGTTTGAAGCCTTATTATGAAGGATTTCAAGTAAAAAATGAAGAAGTAGAGGAAGTAATGGATCCAAAGTACCATGATTGACAAATAGATGGGGTCCAAGTCGAACCAACGACATTAAAAAGGGGCGGCTAACCGGGAGGCAACCCGTGGGTATTTCTGTCATTTCTTAATTTTTCATCGTATTTTCTTCGTTTTCAAGTTTCCAAATTGTTTTTTTATGTTTAAAGAGGGTAAAAAATTATTTTCCGGGCAATAGTGGAGTAGCGGGTTGTAATTTCAAAAAGTGAAAAAAATCACAATTTTTGGCATTTACAGAGGTTTACATGGCCGTGACATATGATTATGGTTTACACGGGCTGTGTAAACAACCAGTCACCACAGTTAAAACGCAAAGTTTACACGGCCGTGTAAATTTTTCCCTTCTATTTACACGGGCCATGTAAACGTAAAATCAGAGTTGGACGAGTTTAAAGGCTAAAATCGATTTGTTTTGTTCATTCTCTTCACAAGACCTGCGACTCCTATTCTCCCTTCTTCCCTCTTCGAAAAAAACCCTTAAAAACACTCCAACTTCCTCAATTTTTCTCTAAAAATCAAGCTCCAAGGTATGAAACTCTTCTCTTTCTTCATCTTCTTTGTCTTGCATCTCAAATTCACCCTCTCATGGCCGATTTTGGGGGTTTTGAGCAAACCCTAGAATTTTTAGGTCTCCAAATTTCGACCTAATGCTTGTAATTTCTTGTAGGATAAGCTTGGGGAAGCATTGGACATTATCCTACCACCATTTTCGAGTACAAATTGGTATAATTGTTCCAAACTCTTTACTTGTGCATATAGTTAGATTTTGGGGTGATTTTGGTGATATTGCTAGTTTTTGTGCATACTCTAGAGTTTAAATTGACCTACATGTGTGCAAAACTTTGTTGAATTCAATTGGACAATGGCTTCCCATGGAAAAGGGCTAGAATTAGGACCTCACATATGGGTGTTCAAGAGACCAATGGTGAACAGGACCAACATTCCGTGGAAAACCCTTATGAATTTGGTCTTATTTTTTAGACAAATCAACAAGAGATTTTGTATGCAAACCTTATTAGAAGAGTAATGGGGGCTCAAAATTTTGTGGACATCCAAGCCCTTAAAGACCTTCATATTTATAAAGGTGTCTACAAGCTCTTCAAAAACATTGGTTGGGAAGGTTTATTGAATTTACATGCAGTAATTTATCAAACACCAATGTTGGAACTCTTGTCCTCAATCACTTTTGATTACCAAACACATATCCTTACTTTCCATTTGCTCAATCAATCTCATCAAATTCATATTGACATCCTATGTGATATTATTGGTGCTCCTAAAGCAAAAAGGGATGTATATACAACAAAGGGAAGAAGAAATATTGTATTTGAGCAAAATTGTGGAAGCTTTTGGTGAAATATCTCTTGTGAAGATGAGTTTCAGTCAGGCACAGTAAAAGCTTCTAGGATTATTCATCCAGTTCTGAAGGTCACCCACCAGATTATTGCTTCTCTCTTATTTCCTCAAGAAGAGATTAGCAAGGCGAACAAAAAAGAATTAGAAGTTTTGTGGTGTATGATTAACAAGGCCGAGGAAGTCCCTCATTTCGGGTGTTGGGTAGTTCAGAAAATGCTCAAAAGTGCCTTGAGCAATGATGGGCAGCTTCATTGTGGAGGCATAGTTTCTATTATTGTTGAACATCTTGGCCTCCATTTACCCAACAATCCAACAAATATAATTCTGGGCCATACTCGTTTGTCACTTGATGTTATGGAAATCATGCACCTCTTTCACCGCACTCCCAATAGGGATGTTCATTGGACCCTCGATGGCAAAGAATATCTACGCACCGACATCCGAAATAAGAAGGTATTAGCCTTGGCCAATGACATCCCATCTACACATTGGCATCTCCAATCCAATTTGGGTGTTACTGCAACCCGTAGACGTCCAACCACCACTCTTACCACTCCTACTCAACCTACAACTGTAGGTGCTTCCAGCTCGTCTCGCCTCATTCCTTTCCCTGAACACAACCTTTACACGGGCGAGTTTGCATGCTTAGACCATCACTATACGAGCCTCCAGCAAGAGTAGGAGAGATTTACACGGGTGATGCTAAAATCACTTATGAATTTCAGGACTACCATAACCTTCAACAAATAGCGTTAGGCCCAGCAAGAGTTGTGATGGGTTGAACAAGATCAGTGATGGGTTGCACAAGAGCAACATAATCGGAATCTCCATTATTTGATGAGTGACCTTCACCGAGTACTTGTTCTTCCCACGCAACAGCAACCATCATCATCCCAACCCCAGTGGCCTTCATATTATCCTGCTGATTATCCTTCACAGTTCCCACCATATCCACCACCGCCCGACTCTCAATAGGCCGGCTAGGCCTCTCTCCAAGCATCGAGGACGATGCTATATTTTAAGCTTGGGGAGGGGCATCCATTCATGCATAATCCTGTTGCATGTAATTTTGCATTAATTTCCATTTTCATTTTTCATTTTTCTGCATAGAAATTTATTTATTAAAAAAAATACTTTATTTCTAATTTTTATTATTCTTTGTATTTATTTATATTTAAAAAATGATCCAATTCTAAAAAACTGAATCTTTTCAAAACAGTTGAGATGGTAAGTGAATCATGTTTCTTGAGATTGGCTTGCTCTTTTTATTGAAAAATCTTAAAGCAAGCTAATCGCACACGAACACACCTCCCAAAGCTACTCGTGCAAAACAGAAAGTGAAAAGATTGTCAACACTAGATCATAAGAGCGAGTATGAGTTAATTCTTTGGGGCATATGACTGGTCTTATGAGTAGTAAATGCTCAATTGAACTTAAAATGCCAAATTCAAAAATTCATATAAAAATATATAAAATCTCAATGTCCCGAGCCTTCTAGCGCTCTAAAAGTCATTTCTGCTCATTCCCTTTTATATACCCTGCTTGGGGACATAGCTTCCAACTATACCTATGGGTCTTTGCATGTTGACCTTTAGTCCCCCGAAAAATGTCTTAGAAACCTTCACGGTAATAGACCGTGAGATGTCCCACAATAGAAAAGTCAAGGACGAAAATATAAAGAAATAGACCTGGCAAATAAATTAATAAGATTCTTATGTGTTATCTTAGTTATACAACAAATAATAATAAATAAATAAATAAAATAAATATTATTAAGTTAATTTGTGACCTTTGGAACTCGAATAAGTAAACTCCGAGGGGTGTTCTACACCTAATCACCTAAAGCAAAATTGTTTGGGACTGACTGGATTGAAAGTTCGCTACACGGGTTCCATTGAAAGTCATGAACTTAATAATAGCAAATAAAGCTAAATTGTGGCCTTTGAGGTTCGGGCAAGTAAACCCGAGGGATCTTTTTAAATCTAGCATACTAAGGTCATTTGATTTGGATGTGTTGGTTGGAAGCCCGTTACATGGATTTCAAAGAAAGCCATGAGTTTTATTTGTAGAACAATGTAATTACAAAATTGTATATATTTGTGTTCATAGTTTAATCAAATAATATGTTTAGGAAAAATGTTTGGCTGCCACAAGATTCCTTTGGACTTGGATTTGAACTTATAACATTGGGATTGAATGCTAATTACTTTGACTGGTGTAAGTGGTTTGATATTTGTAACCAATCTGGGTAAATATTAGGGAATTTTTAGAAAAGATTTTTTAGAAAAAGATTGTTGTTGACCAACAAATAGTTGGAATTGTTCATTGATATATTTAGTGAAACGAAGATGATTGAGCATGTTTTGTCACATACAATTTCGCGAGGGTAAGACCATAGTTTGTTCCATGAATTGTCGTGATGATATTAAAAGGGAATAAGTGTTGTGATCTTTGATTCTGTTGAGTTGTATTAGGGAGTAGCTAAAGTCTTATTTCTATTGTTATATAACTTGAGACTAAAGCCAAGTTTACTCAAGGCACGACAGGTACATTCTCAACTATGGTACAAAAAGAAGGTTAATTGGGTTGGATCTTCATCATGTTTGTTTTAATTTCATGCATTAAATTTCAAAAAGTTTTAACTTTGATTTTCTTTTCTTTTATTTTATTTTTATTTTATTTTATTTTCTCCAGTTTAAATTTTTCTTGTTCTTTCTTGAGGGCAAGAAAGGTTCAAGCTTGGGGAGATTTGTTAGGTGCATTTCATGCATTCATTTTTGTAGTTTTAATCCATAAAAGTGCATTGCATTTAGGTTTAAACTCATGCATTTTGCATATTTTTCGGGATTTTTCATGATGCAATTCCATTCACACACCTTTTTGATATTTCAGGGAATTTTGAAGGAAGGATCTTACTTGAGGTGATGAATAAAAGATGTGGATGAAGTTTCGGGACCATTGGAGCATCGAGGAGGAAGTTAAGAAGAAAATGAATATTTTGACTTTACAGAGGTTTACACGACCATGTAAATGAAAGCCTTGAGTTTACACGGGTCTTATAAACATATATTCAACAGCAATGTACTTCGAAGGCCTGACAAATTTGAGCATTCTACTTCTAGAGTTTACACGACCATGTAAATGGTCAGTGTTAGTTTACATGAGCCGTGTAAACGTGTCGTCAGTTTTAAAACAGTTTCATCCTTTGTAAAAGGGAGATGGCCAGTTCCAGAGGAAGTTAAGTCGTATTTTGGAAGAAGAGAAAGGATTTTTGGGAGATTTTGGAAGTTGATTAACATTTGGAAACACTTTGATTTACATGTTGTAATTCAAATTGAGGATTAAAATTGTTAAATTTGTAGTTTACTTTAGACATGTGTGGTTGATTTCTTTATCATTTCTTATTCTGAATTCTTAAGTATTTGTTGTTAGGTTGTAATTACACTTGACTTATGTTTATGATCTAGTAATCTTTGATTTGATCTCAATAATGTGTTTGATTGGTTCTCTTTATTCACTTGATCAATGAATTAGGGTTCTTATCAATCTTGTTAATCAAATTATAAAATTCATATATGTTTTATGATTTGGTGTTAGTGACATGCACTTGATTGGTTCTATTTAGATTAAAATAAGTGTAATCAAAGATTATATGTTCATAATCCCAAGCTTATGAGGAATGTTGAACATTGTTGGTAATTGTTGCAAAAACTCAATGTCATTTAATGATTTGACGCAAGAACTTATTTTAATTGAATCAATTAAATGAAGATTTATTTGAAGTAAATGTTTTGAATAAAACACTTTTGTCAACTTAGGTATTAGAGTTTATTAATATCTAAATTATCAACCTAGATTAAACATGAGTCATAACTATATTACATCTTTCAACATAATACATATATAAGAATCATAATAAAAAATGTATTTCTTTTACTGAATTTTGTTTTCAATCTTATTTCTTTATGAATTTCAATTTTAGTTTAAACATAATCCCCCATTTTAATATTGTTTGTATAATGTGTGAGAATATGGCTAAATAAGGAGTCTCGTATTCCTGTGGACCGACCCTGCTTGCTCTTTACTATCTTTAGTGTATGAAGTAGTAGTGATTTGAGTTTTATTGTTATTATTTTATCCCATTATTTGTTGGTTTGATAATGAAACATGATCTTTGGTGGGATCTTTGTTGCTTGCCATCAAACAAACTTTTGCATCCTTTTAAGAAGTACCATTTCAGCATACGAGGTGAGTACGGTAGTCAAACTCCCTGAAAGATAAATATAATCAAATAAGGTTCATGTACAAGTATTTAAATATATTTAATATTCAGTTGGTATTTTATCTGCCATTAAACTACGTTCAACGAAAGTTCATTGAATGTAGTCACGAATGGCCTCGGTAAGCATTATTATCGGTATATTATGTTGATTTATCAATAACACCAAAAAAAAATTGGGGAACATCAATGTTGACTACATTCCAATGGATGTTAGGGGAATAGTGTCTTGCCCATTTCGCATGATCAATGGTGGCAAACACTTCACGAGCATCAAGGGTCAGCCGAAGGAAGTTTTCTTCAAAATCAGACACAGTATATAAGTTGGATGTCATCCAGAACAAAGGTTGTAATGTTCTGCCAGAGACGCCTCTTGTGTGTCACAACTAGGAATTTTGATGCTTTGTAAACACTTAACAAGGACGACATTGTAACTAAAACTTAAAAACATGTATGGTGCTTATTTAATGACAACAAAATTTCATCAAACACTTCATACAAACATTCAAATAGTCAACAAAAGATTGGAAACCCTAAAAATCTCGGCTTAAGTCCATTATGGACTAGGATTTTCTTATAGGGCCTAATGGGCCAATAAGCCTCCAATTTGACTATGTTGGACTTAGAACCTTCAAATGGGCCATAATTGGGCCTAAATTCATGAGACCTAACCTTTTGGGCCATATTGGGCCCTAACTAATCCAATTATCCCTAATAAACCATAAATCAATTCTTTTATGCACCTTGGGCCGTAAACAATCTCTAAAGGCCCAATGGGCCGAAAAACCTCCTTATGTACCCCATAAATTCGAACCAAATTAAGAATTGGGCCAAAATAAATATAATTTCTCTCTTCTATAACCCAAATCTCGACCCATGTAAAAAAAGGGAGAAATGTAGAATTATAAGGGCAAGAGACCTCATAATTATCCATTGGAAACCCATGCACCAATCTCATTCTCCCATGCATGTCAACTCATCTCTCACCTCCTCTCTCTTTATCTCCTACTCTCGGCCAAAGGAAGAACATACACACACACACAAAATTCACTTAAAGTTTTCTCTCAAGAACTCATAACAACTTCTCCTCTTCTACATCAAAATTTCGAGATCTTGGAACATTTCAAGGAGATTCTTCCACAAAAATCATCATCCTAGGTAATTTGATGCTTGGATCCATGATCTAGATTCTTTGTTTTATCAAAATTCTCTTCTTAACTGATAAAAACTCATGATCATCATCCTAGAAACCCTAAGATCGAGATCCACCCAAGAAGGCTTGCTAGGACCAAATTTTCTTTATTTCTTCCTTCAAACCGTGAGCAACAAATCAAGGTGAGTTCATACCCCTCTATTTTCAGTTTTCACATGTTTTATTGGGGGGGGGGGGGGTAATACAAGT